GCCTGGACAGCCAGAGATACACAGAGAAACCCTGTCTCAGAAAAATACATACACATATAAATACATATATACATATATATCTACATACGTGAAAACCAATTAGTCACTTGAAATCTTAAGTCTCCTGGAGAATGTTTGGGAGCACTGGGTACAAGACTGGGTGGTGTGGATGGGGTCACATTAGGGTTCTCATGAAAGTGACATCTTGAGACTCAAACGACAGGAGAAGCTAAGCGAGGGCCATGGAAGGGATTTCCAGAGAACCTGGGAACCCCGGAAATGAACAGGCACGAGTCCCTCTGACATCCAAAGACTTCTGGGGCCGGTGCATGGTGCTAATGTATACTCAGGGTGGGACCAAGAAGTCTGACTCCTGGGCTTGTGGCATATCCCAGGGGTGCACAGAGCTTCCCACCCTGATATCACATCAAGTCACTCTTATGACAAGGGCTCGCTTAGGAATCTGGTACAAGTGAGGGAAGGTAATTCAAAAGGTGAAAGAAACACATCAGCCGATTGCAAGCTGTGGACCCGACACGGCTTCTAAACTGAACAACCTGCAGCAATAGTGGAACGGGACTGAAGACAGGACAAGTGAGCCGCTCTGTGTGAACCCAAGTGGTGCTGTTTTAACTGAGGTGATAGGTTGTGCTTGTGTTTACGCTATGAGATCAATCCTATCTCCCCAGATCCATATACTGAAGCTCTAACCTCTGGTACCTCAGCAGGCCACTGTATTCAAAGGTGTAATTGTGTTAAAATGAGGTGGTTAAGGCAGGCTCTAAAATGTACAAATGACGTCCTTTGAGAAGATGTTAGGACACAGAGAAGTACCCGACAGAAGCACACCTAGAAGACCACGAAGACTCACAGCAAGACGGTGCCATCTACAAGCCACAGAGAGAGGTCACAGACCCAGACTCTTGGTCCTGTAATTACGGGAAAATAGGCTTCTGCTGGATAAGCCACCAGACTGTGCCATTGTTGTAGTCCAAACAGTTTACAGCGTTTCATAGCACAACACACTGAAGGGTAACAGATGAAAGGGCCAGCTGACTGGGACTTGTTTCTAAATAACCTCTGAGAGAGGATGTGGGAAGGGTGGTTTACAGAAGGAACAAGACTGGTTAAGACTGGCTACCAGCTGCGTGAGACTTGAAGCAGGTACTGATATACTGGGTTTACCGAGTCCACTCTACTATTCTCCTCTCTCCCTGTTCTGAAATTTTCTCCAATGAAAAGCAAAACAAGATCTAACACAACACAACGCAACGCAACGCAACACAACACAGTAACAATAACAACAAGTGAAAAGGCACTGGCTTGCAGCTCTGAAAACCTTGGCTGTACCACAGACTCCCGAGAAGCTGGGGCCCCAGCTCTGGTGTCTTTTAAAATTTCCCAGGGGGATTTCTACCGATGAATCAGTTGTATGACTACTGGCCTCTACAGGGGACTAGAGGTTCTCTATGGAGATTAATAAACACCGTGCTCCTGGAAGAGGAAACTGAAATGTCAATACAAAGTCTTCTAAGCTAATTTATAAACTACAATTCTCATTAAAAAATGTGATAGGCTGTGCTAAGAGTTGGGCGGTTATCTCCTTTCCATTCCTTCACTCCACTGAAGTTAAGCTTGGTAACAGTGCTCACTTGGGCCAACAAATTGTGGCCAGGAGTGATCTTTATCATTTCTAGGTTAAAGCTTCTGGAGCCAGGTTCTCGCTGTCCCTTGAGGTTGGCCATGTTCCAGCTGGTGGCCTCTTTACGTAGACAGTGATGATGGCGACCCAGGGCCCCAGGCTATGCCATAAACATGTAGGGTGAGCAGATACACATCTCTGCTTTTGAACTGTTGGGCTTTCGGGATATGTATCGATTAGTCTATCATGTCTCAAAGAGAAAGTCAACATGGATTTGACCAAATCCTTCAAAAGTTCAGCTGAAAGGAGGGAGACAGTGGGGGACAAAAGTACACCCTGAAGGAGCGGTGACTCAGGGTTGGTGACGCCAAATGCCAGGCTAAGTCAAGCGCAGCGATGACTTAGAACCCATCAGGGCTTGCTATAGACATAAAATTCTACAGAGATATTTGTGCTGAGGTATGAAAGTAATATGTATGATTTATAACTTGATTTTTCCACTTCTAACATATTAATTGTTAAGCTGTCTCAGTTTCCCTTTCAAAAGTAACAAACCTAGGCTTTGCTGTAATGTATCAGACCACTTTTATTAAAAGAATACTCCTTGCTCACTGGTCCAAGGATTCACTTATCAAAAAATCAATTAATTCTAGCTAAAAACAGCTGTTGAGAAAAGCTGTCTCTCTCTCTCTATCATCTTGCAAGCCACCACAGATACGTTAGACTTCAATACACTACTTGTATTCTAGATTTTTATCCTTTTTCAAAGTCCTGTTTGTTTGACCTCCATCCTGTTATAAGATGCAGGGCAACAGCTAAGTGACCTACTGACACAGAGCAAGGCAACAGCCCAGCCACAAAAGTCACATCTGTCTTTCTGGACTAGAATCTCAAAAACAATGTTCCGCAAAAACCTGGGACTGAGGCTCGGTGAGGCCACCCTGTCAGCTGTGGTTGGACTGGAGTGTCTGACTCAGAGTCCAGTCTCCTGCCTGGGGTCTTCTCTGAGTGCCCACCCTGTTTCTTCTCGGCTTATCTCCAGTCTGCAATGTCGTCTGCCCAGCACACTCTAGGGATGAGGTGCCTGGCTCTTGAGGAGTCCAGTGCTCTACCAGCTATGAGAGGACTCTGAAGGCTGCAACAGCTGGATCTACTCGTGGGCTTGCTGCCCCTGACTAAATGGTTCTTCTGCGTGCTTCAGGTTTTTTTCCGCCCGCAGTTGCTTGTCTCTGGGTTTGCTGTGCTGGACATTTAGGGGACTCTAGTTGCTTGAAACCAGTACATATACTAGGTGTAGGTGTCTTCATGATGGCAGTGGTAGTGGCTTCAACTCTCCCTTCTTCTTTTGACAGGGTCTCAACTTTTATATAGTCTTCTGATCTCCTGCCTCTGTCTCCAGATATTCATGGGCTACACCTCGGCTATGCAGTGTTGGGGGTTGAACTCGGAGGGGAGGATTGAACTCGCATGCTAGGTAAGCACTGTACCGACTGAGCTACACTCCCAGGCCTCTCACTGGCATTTCTAATTTGTGTTGGTGCACTTGCTGTTAGATGGTGTCTCTGCTGAGCCTTGCAGCCAAGCCACGTGTCATTATCTTCTACTTATCCAGATGGCTTTCCGTCTAATCCTGGATCTTATAATCACCCCCCATTGTTTTCATCTGTGTTCAAAGTTGCCTTGTTTGTCTTTTTAGAGCCAATTCTTCCTCCATACATCACATCCCCCATGTGCCTGGGTTAAGTGCACCTAAATCCAGTTTACCCTTCCTTTACATACTGGAGAGTGGACCTGTTGCCAATGGCAGTGTACATGACCCCATAGAAGACATGACAATACGCACAAATATGTAGGAAAAATGTCAGTTGCATAATTCTAACAGAAATCTACTTCTAAGATGCCATTACTGGGACGAAAAGGCCAGATTGGTTGTTTCAGCTGCTTAGGAGGCTGAGAAAGGCAGATCACATGCTCAAGGCCCACTTGGCTACAGATCAAGGTCAGAGCCTGGGCAACTTAGTGAGCCCCTGTCTCAAAATAAAAACACAAAAGAGCTACAGTTATAGCTCAGTGACAGGCTGCTTGTATGAGACTGTGGGTTCAGTGCCTGGTACTAAAGAGGAGGGGAAAACCCCCAAGACTATGAACATGATATTCACAGCAACAGTATTTAAAATACTGAAAACCTCTATACCCTGTGACTATAACTAAACAGAAATCAAGCTCTTAAAAGATTCAATATGATGGCTATATAGCTTTAAAGTGACTATAACGTTACTTTAAGTTACTATTAGTATGCAAACTGTGTCTGCAACTAAATAAAAACTATGTAAATATGGATAAAGACAGAAGGGGAGAGCAAAGAATTAGAAACTGCCATTATGGCAAGATTACAGATAGAATGTTCAGTTGTTTCTCATTACACCATGTTATAATTTGTTCACTCACAACCACTCCAATGTGAACATATAGATGCATTTTTCATGTGCTTATTATTTATGTGTGCAATATAATCTGAGGAGAGAACCAATGGGAATCAAAAGTGAACATTCAGGGCTTGGCAAGGTGGTGCACACCTGTAATCCCAGCATTTATGAGGCAGAGGCAGGAGGATCACTGCAAGTTCAAAACCAGCCTGGATGATAGCTTACATTCTAGAGCAGCCTGTGCTACCAAGTAAGACCTTGTTTTAAAAACAAACAAACAAAAAGAAGAAACAGCTCAGAAGGGAGAACTTGGGGTAACGAGATTTCTAAGAAAGTTAAGAACTATTTGTGCAGCTGGGTGTGTCAGTGCACACACTTGAGGGGCAGAGGCAAGCAGATATCTGTGAGTTAGAGGCAGGCCTGGTCTACAAAGTGTGTTCAGAACAGCCTCTCCTCCCCCCACCCCCCACATACACACATTTGTGTTAAGTCGCCAGCCTATTTCTGGATTCCGAGAATCCAGCAATCTGGATTCTCGTGCAGATTCCTTTCGGCCAACACTAACACACTTTACTACATCTTTGCCTGCCTGGTAGAATCTGGAGGGACAGATGTCAGGATGGCATAGTGAATGGTGTTCAGTCCAGCTATGAACATGATCTCCCTGGCTCCCAGCAGCATTCTCAGACCAGTCAAGGCCTGGGCAAGACCTTCCCTTATGAACATCTAGGCGCTGTAGGTGGCTGCCCACCTACAAAGCTGTTCAAGGCACAGCATCACAAAGCTAGCACAAGTGGGCTACTGTAACACGTGTACCTCATCATCTCTCATGGATGTTCACAAATTCTACACTTACAACACAAGGCAAAAGGTTCAGCGAGAACAGAAAAGGGGGAGGAGAGGGGCTCCACTTGATCACATCCTATGCTTACCATAGGTGAACATTCGTGGGGAGGTCAGCTCAATGTTGGGCAGGGCTCCCAGATGGTTCAGCACTGCGCACCGGTAGCCATTTTTCTGGGCATAGTCAACGAAGGTTCGGATATACTGCTTCTCGCTGTGATTGGCAATTCCAGGACAAATAACCATGGTGATGTCATCTACAGGGTGGAGAAAGAGGTCCTTACATATCTGCTCAATATGTGAACACTGACATTAACAAGGTTAGGGGTGGCAGGGTTATGAGAGATTATGGGTAACTCGCCCTCCCTCCAGGGCGGCTCAGGTAGAAGGATCGTGAGTATAAGGCTACATAATGTGACCCTGTCTCAAAAACCAAAACCAAAAGAAATAACTTTCAATTTTAAAAATGGCAAGGGCTGGAGAGATGACTCATCAGTTAAGAGCACTGGCTGCTCTTCCAGAGGACCTGGGTTCAATTGCCAGCACTCACATGGCGGTTCACAACTGTCTGTAACTCCAGTTCCAGCGGATCTGATACCTTCATACAGATGTACATACAAGCAAATCATCAATGCAATAAAATAATAATAAATAAATCATGAGGGATAGGCTTCTGTACTTCACAAGTGGGTCACAATTCTGTACTGATCTCTGCTACATATGAACTAGCAAGCACAGGTTAAACTGCAGGTCATTTTAGTGATGACATGCCCCCCCCCATGCGATGGAACAATGGGTGGCTCAGGCATTTATATACTGCTCACCACTGATGGGTGTTCCCTGTTTCTAGGTGCCCAACACTATGATCTGGAACTAGCTCACCTCCAACACAGTGCTCAGCCAAGGGCTCGAAGAGATCGAATGTGGAGGTGGCTCCGTCTGCCATGGTGATGAACTTGCGGTGCCCGTAAGGGTGTGGGGACCTCACCCTTCCCATCTTCCCATACAAGGCTGTCTGGATATGTCCACTCTTGCCCCAGATCAGCGGTGGAATGTACCTGAGAAAGGAGAGGAAGAAAAATAGGAGCGGTCAACCTCCTCCATATTCCTTAACAAAGGGACTCTCATTTTTTAACCTTTTCCCGACACGTTTTGCACACTAGACAGAAACCCAATGACTTTTTATTAGCTAGTTTGTTAAAAAAAAAAAAAAAAACTGTTTCAATGGACGTGGTGGTGCACGCCTTTAATCCCAGCACTTGGGAGGTAAAGGCAGGAGGATCTCTGTGAGTTCCAGGCCAGCCTGGTCTACAGAGCAGGTTCCAGGACAATGTGGTTGAAATCTGTTTCATCTCTAGCTTGTCAATGCAGGGGATGAGATCCAGGCCTTATGCATGCCGAGTGAGCACTCTACTATTGAGCCGAACATTTTTACTGCCTCATATCCAGGCCGCCATGTGTTCCTCTTCTGCATTCACTAAGGCCTCCTACACCAGATTAGCTTCAGAAACCAACTATTACTTCAAATTTAGGGCTCAAGTAATTCAACGCAGGTTATTTCTATAATACAGAGGGAAAGGAAGCAAATAATGCTCTTTGAATACATCCCACATGATGGGGTTGGCCTCGTTATTACCAAATGAGCCAATGCATACAATGTGGCTTGCATGACACCTGAGCTCAGTAAATGCTCACTTCTGCCACAGCTTCTGTGGTTACTATGTTAGTAAAAACGCTGCTCTCAGCTACACCATGAAGGACTGCAGGCTCTCCTCAGAACCTCTAGGTGCTTTTGGGTATGGGGAAAGCACTACTGTATGCCCCAGAGAAGGTGCTAGAAGGGCCAGCAGTATTTCTGTTGGATTAATGAAGAACAAAAGCTTCTTCGCCTAAGGCAGCATGACACCTCCCTTACCACTGCTCTTTGTGAAGAAGACAGTGGCATTGGAGGGAAATATAAGAACTGAAAGTCCATTAATTCCTGGGAAAGAGGGTGCTCCAATTAAGAACTGAGGATGGTTCACAGCCGCAGTACACGATCCCATTTACCGAAAATGCTATTGGTTTATCTCACAGCTTTTCATCCGAGCTCAGTGGCTAGTCACAATGTGTGTTCTACATGAACTAGAATCTCATAATGTAACGTGGTGGTGACACCATTCTCTCAGCTCTGTATTATGTTCTAGTGGTGTTTTATTAATGATTTAGCTTAACCTGTCTGCTCATTCATGCATAGCTGCCATTTCCCTCAGAACCACATGGTTCTGGAAGATCCGTTTCTAGTTCTTTGTTTTGTGTGTGTACCTTTAAAGATACATAAAATTAAATAAGATCAGCTCCCTTGTAAAACAGTCCCCAGATAAGCCGCTTCTTTGGGGCTGGAGAGGAGAGAGAAGGGTGTTTAAGAGCCATGGAGCCACTTGCCAGCAGGTGCAAATATCCCTGCAGAAAAGACTGCATTTGGGAAAGAGGAGAAGGTACTTACAAGAGCTGAGTGGTTAGGATAGTAACAAAAAGCAGCCTTATAAAAAATACTACAATGTCAGACTCAGCTACATAGTTTACAAAAGCTACCAGACAGCTACTGGGCTGTGTAGAGGGAAAAGGGTGGAAGAAACCAAACTCTGAAGTAAAATTGGAGGACGCTTTTCCTTACAGTATGAATTAAAAGGGATAAACAAAGTGAGGTTAAAAAATATTAGAATAGGAGACAGGTGTATCTCTGAGTTTTGAGCCTAGCCTGGTCTCCACATCGAGTTCCAGGACAGCCAGGGCTACACAGAAAAACCCTGTCTCAAAAACAAACAAAACAAACAAAAACCAAAGGCAGAACAGGTATATTTCATATGCTTCTTTTTTATTTTGCTTAGAACATGATTTAATCTTCACCTCCTCTGAATCTTGGCAATAGCCTCACCATGGCCTCCTAGCCTCTAGCCTTGTTCCCCTGCCCACTCCATGGCTCAACTGTCCACCTTGCCAATGGAGGGAGAATCTCAACACACAAATCTTGCTGCAGTCCTCCAATGCTTGGCCTGGGACGGGGCGGGGGAGGGGGGGACGACACCCTGGCACTCCCTAGTTCTCTCCCTAACCTCCAGTACACCTAAACTAGTGGCTCCACTTCACCTCAAATGGACACTCTTGGGGAACACTGTGTCTATTCCAGATGCCCGTTTGCCACCCTAGTCCCTTGCTGGCCAAATGGGCCTTGTCTTTAGGACTTGTTCCCAATCCAGTTGGTTGCTGGGACAATTGTGTCATCCCTGTGCACTGCTCTGGACCCAGAACCCAGGCAGCTCCATTACTACGGGGGTTCTTTTCAGACACATCTCTTTTCACATTTACCTCAGGGCCTATGGCCAGGGACTCACATTAAGCAATGAGAGAATCTGCTGAGATGACAGAAAACACACCCACTCAGAAAACCCTAGATTTAAAAAATATCTTTTAAAAAAGTGTCTTTAAAAGAAAGTATGTATCATGAAAATGTGAGCCTAGTCTTATCTGACTGGCATTTGGTGACATTCCCACTCTGGGGGGGTGGGGTGGGGGTGGGGAACTGCCTTAAAATCACAGTGTGGGGTCAACTGTGCACAGTGGAAGTCTCCCAATTTTTAATTGTATGACAGTACCACTTACTGATAAAACACTGTTTTTAATTAACTTCCAATAACACAGCAGGACTCACAACACTGTGATTAAGTTCAGTGTGGTGGGTTTCTAACTCTACTTTAAAAAATAATTTTTATAACTTATTCAAAAACCACAAGGAAAAAAAAATCAAAACAGTATCCAGAATGGTCCAGGTCATGGAAGATATATAGACCCAAAGAATAAATATTCTGAAGTTTATCTAAATGACACATGCAAACCCTGACGATGCCACTGTTGTGGTCTGTGGAAGGACATACTTATTCTAACAACCTATTCGACAGTTTTTCTGAAAATATAGTACTAATTAACTCACTTGTCATTCTTGTGTCCAAAGGTCATCTCACCAGAGGACCGAGGCCAGTCTGGGATGGGTGTGGTGGACAAAGTGTAGTGAAAGGACAGTACATGCCACCTGTCCTTAAGAGGCCTGGCAGAAGCCCGGCGGTGGTGGCATATGCCTTTAATCCCAGCACTTGGGAGGCAGAGGCAGGCGGATCTCTGTGAGTTCAAGGCCACCCTGCTCTATAGAGTGAGTCCAGGACAGGCTCCAAAGCTACACAAAGAAACCCTGCTTTGAAAAACCAACAAAAACAAAACAAAAACAAACAAATAAACAACAACAATGACAAAAAACAAAAAGAAAAGAAAAGAAAGAGACCTGGCAGGTTTCGTGTTCATACTCTTGGAAGCCTGACTGCCCAGCAGGTGAGAAGTGCAAGGGGAACCTTGGAGGATGTGTGCATTGTCAATTTTACAGATAACCCCAAAATGCCTTCCAAAGAAGATGCCTCAGTTTATAATTTAAATACCGCCAATAATACATGAGAGCTCTTATTTGGCATCTTCACCCTCATCAATAATTGGTGGTATTATTATTATCATTATTATTACTATTATTTACATTCTGGCCACCTTAAAGGGCACCTTATTTCAAAATGTTTAAAGTTGACCTAATTTATAATTAAAAAAAAAATGTCTCGGGCTGGTGAGTTGGCTTGGAGGGTAGGAAAGCCATTTGTCGCCAAGCCTGATGACCTCAGTCCAATCCCCAGGACCACCATGGCTACTGCTAGTTGTCCTCTGACAGCCACAAGTGTGCATGGCACACATGCATGCTCCAAATAAGTAAATGTAAAAGTGTTTCTCATTTCAACTTGGATTTTCCTGACTCATGTCTCCTACTATTTAGTTTTATTTTTCTTCTGTGAATTCTGTTCATAGGTTGTTTTTATTATATTTTTACTTTTCCCTGTTAATTTGTATTTTTTTTATACTGGCTCTATATTATTAAACATTATCATCTGAATGTTAGAATTTTTTCCTTATTATAGTGTATGTTTTAAGTTCACATTTATCTTTCTTTCTGAGACAGGGTCTAGATATATAGCCCAGACTGATCTTGAACTGGCAATCCTCCTGCCTCAGTCTCTTGAGTGCTAGGAATATAGGTATGCATCACGAAGCTCAGAAAAGCTTACTTTGATTTTACATACTTTTTATATTTTATGGTTAAATTTTGTAGATTTTAAAAATTAAACCTTTATATTTTGGCTCCTCCTCCATCTTCTAGTTTGATTTTGTTTTTAAGACAGTGTCCTGTGTAGCCCATGCTGGCCTTGAACTTGCTATGTAGTTAAGACTGGCTTTGTACTCTTGGGTCTGTCTGCTTCTACCTCCAGAGTGCTGGAATTGTATACAGGCTTGTACCACTTCTGACTTCACATGGTATTTTAAGAAGAGCAATTCCAATACCAATTTATAACTATACCACTTATTTGCTTTTATCCCCACAGTTTTCTTTAGAAATGCACTCCCCTTAAATGTATTTATTTATCTGAGTGATAAGGAGATGTAATTCATCTCTTCCTAACAGATGAGTTCACTGTCCTTGCACAATAATAAGCAGTCTATTCATCCAGATGAATTCTAACCATCATCTGTAATATATGCCAAGTTCTCAGGCTAATTTCTCTATTCTCTATTTTGGTTCGTCCATCTATTTGTTTGCCAGTATGGCTGTTATAATCGATACATTTTATAGGATATTTTGAGAGATAAAAGTTCAGGTCATCTTCACTATTCTTTTGCAAAAAATTCTTTAGCAGGTTATTTCATTTTCCAGATAAATTTATGATCAGCTTGTTGAGTTCCTGAGAAACTTTGAGAAGATTTGATTGAAAATATATCAAACATATATTACCCTGGGGCTAACAGACATCTCTGCACTGACTTCTTCCCTCTGAAAACATGGCACATCTCCCTCCCTGTCCTGTGGTAAAGCTTTAGTTGAGCTACAGTGCTTTGCATGGGGTCATGCATATTGGCAAAAGCTGTTCTCAAGATCTGGAGCATATGGTCATGTTTATCATTAACAAAGCAGGAATAATGTCTCCTCCTTTTC